TGAAAAGCGGGAACATGCCAAGCGTTCAGGAAACTGCAATCTTTTGAAGATGAGTAGCATTTCTGTTGCAATTAGAGAATTCGAGGTTGCAACATACATCCCTGAAATATTCGTATCCACAATTAAATGGTTGTGTGTGAATTTCATTGGAATTAGACTTACGTATCGTGTTTTGTTGCATACAATACGTGAAACCGGCCGAAAATATATATGGGAGCTATATCCAAATGTGTGTTCGATTCCAATGAAATTTGGAATGTGCGACGGGATTTCATCAGAAAATACATTTGTCAATTTATATTGAAATCGGTACAGCTATATCCAAATCTGAATCGATTTCAATATAATTTGCCAAATTATTTTTGTACCAAATTTAGTCACTCATGCCGAATTTCATTGAAATCGTGTTTGTGCATTAAATATGTGCAATCGGCCGAAAATATATATGGGAACTATATCCAAATCAGAACCGACTTGAATATAATTTAACAAATTTATTTTTGTACGAAAATTAGTCACTCATGCCAAATTTCATTAAAATCGGACGTACGTATCGTGTTTGGTGCATAAAATATTATATGGCACCTATATTCAAATCTGAACCGACTTCAATATAGTTTGATAAATTTATTTTCTGATCAAATCCCGTCACACATTTCAAATTTTGTTGGAATCGAACATACATATCGTGTTTAGGGCATCAAATAAACAAAATCGATCGAAAATATATGGGAGCTATATTCAAATCTGTACCGATTTCAATATAATTTGGCAAATTTATTTTTTAAAAACTTCCGTCACTCATCCTAATTACATTGCAATCGAACATACATATCGTTTTTGGTGCATCAAATACATGAAATCGGTCGAACAAATATATGGAAGCTATATCCAAATCTGAACCGATTTCTATATAATTTGGCAAATGTACTTTTTGATCAAATCCCGCTACTTATTCCAAATTTCATTAAAATAGAACATACATATCGTGTTTAATGCATCAAATATATGAAATCTGGGAGGTATATATAAATCTGAACCTTTACAATATAAATTGGCAAATTTATTTTTATTCCAAATTCCGTTACACATTCCAAACTTGGATACTGTATTTGTAATCGATCGATCCCTGACATTACGAAAAACTATTTCGCATTTATTTCATTTCCAATGTATAAGCACATAACCCCTCGTAGAGAGAGGGAGAGGGAAAGAGAGAGAAATTCACTGGATTTATTTTCTTTTTTGTCCATCTATAACCACAGAAGAAAAAAACTCTAAAACAAGAAAAAATCCTTAAACAAATTACTCAGAATTCGAACCTGCATCGGTCAGACGATTCAGACAAAACTTCAGATTTTAAGCAGACGTGTTGGACGTCCGACATTTGGTTCGCTGGGTATATACGGTGAGAGCTTTCATTGTCGATTCCTAACAGATGTCGCGCCAACAATTTTTGCTCGGTCAAGTGTGTGATTAAAATGGTCAATACAAACTAATTAAATTTTTAAGAATTACAATTATTTATTGGAATATTTCTCCCTGTTTTCCATTGCCCTATTTCAGTTGATTAATATCCTACATTTGTTTATATTCCTAGCTTTTTAGATTTGAGTGACTTGAGTATTTTCACTCTAACCCCTAAAACGATAGGAACGACATCTTCTGTTTACTTGGTCTACATATTCATTACTCTATGCTTTCAATATAAACAGCTTTTTGTCTAAGAGATAATTCCAGGTTAAGAGAGAAATATTTAGGTTTGCAACATATCGCCAGGTGTTAAACAAGGATGAAAAAAATACTAAAGTACAAGAAACGTGTTACATTCTTTCCAAAAGAATTTGTACGTATGACTGCTTCTTAAAATTTTAATAAATAAAAATGATGGGATTAAACAAACGTTGGATGGGACCTACTTTCTGATACTAAACAACATATATTACAACCAGTAAGGAAAGCTCAAAAGTCGAGCGGGGCCGACTATATGATACCCTACACCACTATGCATATTTAGTAGAGCTCTCGTAAAAAGGTTTATACAGGGCATTTCAGAGCTCTATGAGATATTTGGTACAAAATCAAAATCTATCTAATTCTATCGTGCATTTTACGAACTATAGCTATCTCTGAACCGGGTTTCTCCAAATTTGACGTATTAGCTTCTAGACTGAATTCGGTCTTATGTACGAAAATTCATGCCATTTGGGCTGATATTGGCCATTTGATGCACAATTAACACGAAATCGGTTGAAGATATATATGGGAGCTATAGCTATATCTGAACCGATTTTTACTAAAATTGGTGTACTTGCTTCTAAGCTGGTTTCGGTCGGATTTGCCAAAATTGATGCTATTACGGCCATTTGGTGCACAATTAACCCGAAATCGGATGAAGATATATATGGGAGCTATATCCAAATCTGAACCGATTTCGATAAAATTACAAACAGCTATTTCTGGGCTGTATCTTTTATCTGGTACCAAATATCATTCTTGTGAAGTGCATATTACGAATGTGAGAGGCTTAAAGATCAAATCGGATGAAAGATATATATGGGAGCTATAGCTATATCTGAACCGATTTTCTCCAAATTTGATATACTTGCTTCTAGGCCGAACTCGGTTGGGTGTGCCAAAATTCAGGTAATTTGGACTGATAGTGAACATTTGGTGCACATTTAAACCGAAATCGGATGAAGATATATATGGGAGCTATATCTAAATTTGATCCGATTCTCACCAATTTCAATAGGGTTCGTCCTTGGGCCAAAAAAATATTGTTTGGAAAATTTCATCTCAATCGGATAATAAATGCGACCTGCATGCATGCACAAAGGCATAATACCCTTACCACTATGTGGTGTAGGGTATAAAAATGCGAAATTAGAAAAAATTACTGCTGTCATTTTAAGTCAGTCGTCCGACAGTTGTTAAAATTATTTCAGTGACAGCTCATTTTGTTGTTTGCAAGCGTACAAAAGCATTTTGGTGAGAATTTTCCAGAAAAAAAGTTATTCGTGATGAAACTCAAGCGTGATAGTGACTATCGTTAGAGCACTCCAGTATTTAAATGTGAATAAATCATTTGTGTCTCGTACCATCGCTCGCAACCGTGATACTGGTAGCGTAGTCCGACGTCAAGGAAGTGCACGGAAGAAAACAGCAATATCTGCAGAAAAGTTTCGAAAAGTAAAGAAGCGATTTGATCGAAACCCGCGTCGCAGTGCCCGAAAAATGGCTCGTGAGCTGAACATATCGCAATATTCCATTCGTCAAATATTAAAAAATGAGCTCGGGGTAAAGCCATTAAAATTTCAAAAACTGCAAGGACTTACACCGCAACTAAAAGAAAATAGACTCAAAAGAGCTAAAGATTTGCTTCGCTTGGCCATCAAAACTCAAGCGCCGACCATGGTGTAGGCCGCCGATGGGTCGCTCTCCGCTCGTATTAATCGACCATGACATCAGAATAAATGCAGAATATTATCGCGAAAATATTCTGGAGGGTGGATTAAAGCTTTGGGAACGCGAACATTTTGGCCGCAGAACTTGGACATTCCAACTCAGCACGCTCCACCCAAGAATGGTTACAAAATGAGGTTCCTCGTTTCATTTCCGGCGCACAATGGCCACCAAAATCTCCGGATACCAATCCGTTGGACTATTGTGTCTGAAGTATTTTAGAAAAAATACCAAAATGTCGATCACCTCAAGGAAGCGCTTCGACTGGAATGGGCCAAAATACCGCAGAGCAACATTCGGGCAGCGTGTGATGGATTCATTGGCCGTTTGAAGGCCATAATTCGTGCCAAAGGTGACCAATTCGAACAAATCTAAACTTATTTCATTCATTCAATAAAATTAAAAAAAAAAATATATAAAAATTATGGCGTTTGACTTTGTTGCAGTTTTTTTTATCTCACCCTTTATTATAATACATAAATGGCATTAGTGTGATATAAATTTGTTTTTTGTAATGTAAAATAATTTTTGTAAAAAAATATTGGAAATGCCTAAAAGTGTGCTACTTAAATTTTATTTTTTAAAGAAAAAATGAGACTGAATTTAGAGAACATCTGTCATTTTCTGACAGATATATACCGTTAAACACATGTTTAGTCTCATATTTAAAGTTACTATTACATTAAATTTTGTAATTATCGTAGCATAATTTTATGCGGTGTAAAAATGTTTAAACAATGTCCAGTACACTTTTACTATATTTATTCTACAATATAAATATATTAATTTATACAATACTGTATAGCTTTTTTTCACTTGGTACGAGAGGGTTTATCTGAACCGATTTTCAGCAAATTTGAAGTACTTCTGGGCTGAATTCAATCGGATGGGACGAAATCCATTCGATTTGAAGGAATATTACACATGATGAAAATATATATAGAAGCAATATCGGAATTGGAACCGATATTCACCAAAATTGCCAGACGTACTTATCGACGAAACTTGGCCGCGTGTGCTAAAATTAATTTGAGTGGGGCTGATATTACGCATTTGGTGCATAAAACTTATCAAATCGGACGACGCAATATATGGGAGATATATCCAAATCGGATCCGATTATCATCATTAAGATTTACCTAAAAATATACTGTGATTTGACGTGTAAACTAGTCTTGAATGTTTAGAATACACAAATATTATTTAGCATAAGTTGCACCTTTTGACTTGAAATTCGCTGCCTGTTTGAGTTCTCACCATTTGTACAAAATTTCGTACAATTTCCCCAAGAATTTTTCAACCCCTCACAATTCGGAGCAAAGAGAACGAACCCTTCGATTTTCAAACAACTTTCTCTAACACAAAAGCACAACAAACACAAAATACTTTGAAGTCGGGTTGCGAGTAGTGAGTTCTCTTTGCCAATTCGGAGATGAGTACAACAATTGTTTCGTTTGTGTTTTTTCAATGCCACCATTAGACTGGGGGAGCACCACTGTTTCACGGCACAGACTGTGCGCTGATTGTCAATGGTGCTGCGGATGGAGCAAAAATGATTCCTAAGCTGATTGCCAGTATTCAGTATAGCGGTAGACGAGGAGGAATTGAGTAAGCGCGCGCGTCACGAATAATAAAAACGAAAGTAAGAAAATATATACGGAAACAATCAGACACACACACACATGAACGTATATACTCAATTCCAGGGCATTGTGGTGGTCCTTTTTACGTTACGGGATATAGGATATAAAATGAAATAATATCACAAAAATTCAAGTGCTCAGATACACATGAATATGTAATCAAATTAAATTAGAAGTGTCGAATAAAGTGAGTCTGAAAGCAAAAAAAATTAAAATTCTCAAAATTAAAAAAAAAACAAAATTGTTGTTCAATTGATTGCTGATAAATTTGTGAAAAACAAACACAGGAAACACACACACAAACGCTGTCATCATTGCGACCAACCACACTTATTTAGCAGCCTCATGCCGTTTTGATAACAATCTTAGCTTCAGGTTTGTGGAAAACATTATGTGAAATTTGAAAAATTCATATAACAGTAACAAAAACAATAACACCAACAAAAACAACAACGTAAATAAACAACAACATTCCATTGGATGGAAATCACGTGAACTGTTATTTTGGAGTAGATTGTAAATCGGTGGATGATGCCGCCGTTGGCATCATTCAATACAGCAGCCCAGCTACCCCCACAGATGACGTCTTTATGTCATGCATTTCACTTGAGATACAACAAACCTCTCTCCCCTCGACTCCGCCTAAATCATCACAAATAATACCCCACCAATATTCTGATTCCCAAACTGGGGTAAACTTCATGGATTAGGGAGGGGGTGGTGGTTTTGGACGGTAAAAGCTTGTGTAAACAAAGTCGAAGGGAATATTTATTTCTCGTTTGGAATTTCCATTATCTAAAATACGATGAGCTCACAGATCGAAGAATAATAAACAGTTTTATTATTATTTTTATTATTAATCTTCTACACTTAAGTGTGCTAAAAGTGCTAATTAATCGAATGTCGGCAGCACTCAAACAGACGCGGCACTCATCAGACGTATTCACATCCAGCCATGTTGCCGTTAATACCTCTCCAACCACCGAACGTTGTCAGCCAACCCACTGATCAGCCTGGCTATCAGTAGAACACCTCTTACTCGGTGTTTGGTTTGACCTTTTTGTGGTTTGGTCCGTTGTGGCTTCTCCCCTTAATTACAGCAACAACAACAACAACACCACTTGATATCTATTACGACAGTAAAAAAAGGCAATGTAAACAAAAACTAAAACAACAGCAACAATAAAATAATTTAATCGAATCAAATCAAATGCACAGCTATGTATGTATGTATGTTTATATGTAATCGTCGAAAATAAAATTTGTATAACAGCGCAGACAGGACAAGGCCGCGACTTGTGGGTGGTCAGGGAGAAGGAAATAAAAATCCGAATAAGATAAAATCAATTTAGTGTGGCTTAAGTCGAATTTTTATACTTTCAGTATTCAGGCTATTTGATAGGTCAACACGTGCCTCATCAAAATAACGGTTTGAGAACCTAGATCTCTTTAGATCCGTTCCAGGAGATTTAGAGTCGATCTAGCGGTGCCCATCCGTCAGTATGTCTGACTATCTGGCTGTTGCACAAGGTAACTTTCGAAGGGAGTATCCGATTTGGTCCAAACATGGTACATCATAATAAATATTATGGTTAACCTTAGATCGAGTTCGGAGATGGGGAAAATCGATTCACTCCTTCTCGTACCTCCCCCACAACAATTTTGAATACCCATGAAGCTCCCGAAACGCGAATGTACATCTGATTCCTTTCAAACTCGGCACATTTCACTATTTATATCGGTACAAGATCTGTTGTAAAGATCGTATATATCGGATCACTCCTTCTGGTACCTCCCTCACAGAGAGTGAACATTTTGAATAGTTATGGGATACAGATCAGCGATTTTCATCGAAATTCGAGTACCTCAATATTTTTGTTAACTATACATCTATTAGATATTTCGGTCCACGCCTTCTAGTTAATTTTTTGACTGACAATTTTTCCTATAAAATTGTAAATAAGTGTCAAATTTTTTTTGTACCCCCCACCATAGTATCGAGGGTATATGAAGTTTGTCATTCCGTTTGTAACACCTCTAAATATACATTTTAGACACAAAGTATATATTCTTGATCAGCATAAAATTCTATGTCGATTTAGCGATGTCCGTCCCTATGTCCGTCTGTGGAAATCATTCTAGCTTCCGAACTAAATGAAGTAGGTTGATAGAATTTTACTCAAATTTATATTATGTCTGCAGCACTTTTGGCATTGAAAATGATACATGTAGGTCCACGTTTTGGTATAGCCCCCATATAATGGTACCTCCCAATTTTCTGTATGTTGGTGATTTTAGCGACTTTATTCACCGGAAATGTTTTAAATTTAATATTTGAAGTTCGTAATGGATGCTACAGCCTAAGACAGAAAACTGTCTGTGCAGGTCCACGTCTTCGTATAGCCCCCATATAACGGTACCTCCCGATATTCGGACATTATTCACTGGAATTGTTTGAAATTTGGTATTTGGAGTTCGTAATGGATGCTACAGCCTATGACAGATTTTAGCTACATTATTCACCGATTTTTTTTATGTTTCGGATTTGAATATTGTTATTGGCTTATGGCAAAAGTTGCCTATGTAGGTCCACGTCGTTGTATTAACCCCAATATAATGGCTACATTCGGTATTTTTAAGATTTTAACAGATTTTTATATTAGATATTATTTAGATATGAAATGGACAATATTGGCCCAAACCAGTAAAGAAGTGTAAAAAGTCGTGCGGTTTTATAATACCCTCCACCACTATGTAGAGCTACCCGTAACAAATCAACGATTATATTGGGAGGAAATCATATCCAACTTTGAATCGACTTCCGCAAAATAGAGTACATAGTATGACATCAAGAAGGATTAAATTGAGAACAAGTAAAAAAAATTAAGTTCGGCCGGGCCAAACTTTTAATACCGTCCACCTTAGGGTAAAGGAAACATTAGAAGAAATGTGGCGAAAACCATCAAAATACCGAATATCGGGAGGTACCGTCATATGGGGGCTACATCAAATCATGGACCTATACATACAATGTTTCGCCAACGGAGCTAGAACCCATTATGGCTACAAATACCAATTTTCAGACAAATCCGAGAAAAAATGTGGCAAAAATCATCAAATTACCGAATGTAGGGAGGTACCGTTATATGGGGGCTATACCAAAACGTGGACCTATAATTACAATGACTCGCCACACGAACTGGGACACATTATGATCTACAACTACCAATTTTCAGAGTAAATCTTGAAAAAAATGTGTTAAAAATAATCAAAATACCGAATATTGGGAGGTACCGCTATATGGGGGCTATACCAAACCATGGACCCATACATGCAATGTTTTGCCACACGCACAGGGACCCATTATGACCTACAAGTACCAATTTTCAGACAAATCCGTGAAAAAATGTGGCATAAATAATCAAAATACCCAATATCGGGAGGTACCGTTATATGGGGGCTATACCAAAACGTGGACCTATAATTACAATGACTCGCCTCAACGAACTGGGACCCATTATGATCTACAAATACCAATTTTCAGACAAATCCGTGAAAAAATGTGGCATAAATCATCAAAATACCCAATATCGGGAGGTACCGTTACATGGGGACTATACCAGAACGTGGACCGATATATCTCATTTTCAATACCATCTATCCTAGACACAATACAAATAGCTCTGCTAAATTTTGGCGCTCTACGTCAAATAATGTGGGCTGTATCGTGATTTCAACAGACACACAGACGGACATCGTTAAATCGACTTAGAATTTTATGCTGATTATGAATATATATACTTTATGGGGTCTACGACGAATATTTAAGGATGTTACAAACGGAATGACAAAGTTAATATACCCTCCTTTCCAAGGTGGAGGGTATAAAAATATATTGTTGAGCAGTAGATATAAAGGGTGAGATAAAATACTGCAACAAAGTCAAATAAAAGCCAAAATGTCGGAAATAGCATCAAATTTTAGAATAAGATTAGATTTATTCAAAATTAATATAACGACTGTGTTACAATGAAAAGTAAAAAAGTCGAAGTGTTATTCTACCATGATAAAAAATCTTCCCTCAAAATACTCACATATTATATCCAATAATTCTTCAAATTGAATGTTTAAACAACTTTAGTAGTGTAGGTCTTATAATTTACAGGCTTCCTTATTTTGATCCTATTCCGAAATTTACTGACGTGTTATTCCCTCTCAACACGGAGAGTGCAAATCGATAAATATTTTGGCTGTAAACACAAGCGTTATTCTCACTGACGATTATGACAACATAACACTTCATAAATTCATTTACAACGCCATTCATTTACAAACATAACACAGTACGTCACAGAGACTCACACATTTCAGCTGGTGAAAATCGGTATTTATTTTCATAAAAATTTGTAAAAACAAACACACATGCCTATGATTGATGGGCGCACAATTCTGATGGCAAAGATTAGAATCTTTAGAATACTTAATTTGGAGGATGGGTTGTTGGGTTAGTTTTGAAACAAAAATGTTTAGCATTTGGTGGAAGTTCCCAAGAATTGTTTTCTAAAAGTTGTTTGGTATAAGAAATTGAAAACATGAAAATAATATTTTACCGATACATGACACCCTCATTCCGTTTTCACCATTTTGTATACTCTCCCACTATAGTTTGGAGTGTATATTAAGTTTGTCATTGCGTTTGTAACTAGTCGTAATATAAATTTTAGACCTCACAGAGAACATATATTTTTGATCAGCATAAAATTCTATGTCGATTTAGCAATGTCCGTCTGTGGAAACCATTTTAACTTTCAAACGCAATAAAGAAGGTTAATCAAATGTTACTCAGATGTATTTTATGTCTGCAGGACTTTTGTTATTTAAAATGGGCCAAGTAGGTCAACGTTTAGGTATAGCGCCCATATAACTTACCGCCAGATTTAATTTAAATTTAAACACGAAGTCGCTGTAATTTTGCAGTTTGTGTTCCCAGCATGTAGGCAACATCCTTGCATAGAACTGTCTATATAGATCCAAATTTTTCTATATCTCCCATATAACTGTACCTCCAGATAATCGGAATTTGGATGATTTGAGTCACGCTTTCATTGCTTCAAACTTGGTATATGGCGTTCGTAATGCATAGCACTTACTATGACAGAAAATTGCTGTATTATATAACTGTATCTTCCAATATTCGTTTTCGTATAGCCCCCATATAATTGTACCTCCAGATATTCGGTATTTTAATGATTTGTGTCACATATAAATGGAAGAAAATAGTCAATATAGTCCCAATCTGACGTTGACGTTGTAATATTTATATCAGACTTAGGTCAGATACGAAATTGGCAATATTGGCCGACTCCTTCGGAACG